TGTCTAGTGTCCAACATCGTTGTTGGAAGACTTAACGCCAAACCATGTTTTTAGCTACCGAGGCCAGACAGCGCTGTTGATTACCTCAACATCGCTGTTGGGCTGGTTTAGCCAGACCCATGGTTGGTTTAGTCACGCCGTTAGCCGATGTCAAAAACGCAAGTTCTCCAAAATAAAAACCAAGTTTAGAAAACATTTGTTTATTGCATTTTGCTAAGAAATCAAGTAAAACATCTTGAAAACCACGTCATTTAGTTGAAAACCACGGCTAGCCAAGTTTGCGCCGTTTCGCATGGTTTTCACTAAACGACCAAAAACGGAAGGTGGTTTTTGAGGCGTTTTGGTTGGAGAACTAATTAAATGTGCCCAGTAGTAAAAACGAGTCATAAAAAGTTGAAAACAACTTGGTTGATTCGGACGCCAAAAACCAATGCCGAAAACCGAAAGCCGAACGCCGGTTTCTGAAAACCGAACGCCGGATGGCTTGGTTTTTGGCTTGGGCGAACTCCAAGTGTTTTGAGCCAAGTTTAAAACTTAAGAAAAATATTTTTGAATATGTAAAAGAGATTTTTATGAAATGAGCCTAGAGAGCCAAGATTTGGAATTTTGTGCCGGTCTTGATCACATTAAGACCGACTCAATGCAATTCTAATTCTTCGTTCTTGATTCTTGGTTCTCTAGTCATCATGCCATGTTTCTTCGCCATAGTTTTGCTCACTTTAGCTTTGATGTGTCGCGGCGGTTTGGCATTATCAAAACCTGTCATAAAAACGAATACAGTTTAGTACGACGTAGGTGTAAACCCGTGTTCCAACAATTTTTCTTACCAAAAATATTTTATAATATCAAAATAAATATTTGATAAATATTTGTAACTGACTCAATAAAACTATTTTGAACAGTTAAAAAGATTTTTCAACTGGCTCCAAAAATAAATATAATTTTTATTTTAACTCTCATAAAAATAATTTTGGAGAGAAGATATTTTTGTCATCCTTACAAAAATTCCTACGACTCAAATAAATAAAAGTCTTTGGAAATCTTCTACTCCTCCGAGTCCTCCGTTAGGCGCTTCGAATGCGTCTTGGACTCCAATAAAATCCTGTGCACCTTCTTGAATACTTCAAGGAATGGCACTTCAAGTCTTCATGTTTGTCGTTGTAGCACTTTGATCTTGACTTGAATAAAGTGTGTTTGTCAATTATCAAAACCTGTGAGTCAACACTTAACAACACAGAAAGGGTTGAACTCATGCATTCCAACAATTTCCCCGTTTTTGATAATGACAAACACATGGAGGATATGCTACCAACAAATAACAAACTAAAGCATCTACTCCTATACTCTTCCCCCTTTTGGCATTATAAAAAATAATGCAACAAAAGAGCTCATGCATTCCGGGGAAAAAAAAATTACTAAACAATTAAGAAAAATCACATTCCCCCTAAAATCATGCACTTCTAGGAAATAAAAAACTTCCCCCTTAAAGTATGCTATCTCCCCTTAAAAAAACATACAAAAAAAATTAACACATATAGCAATAAATTCCCCTTTACTATATGCAAAACATCCTATGTATATTCCCCAAATAAATTATTATAAATTCATTAAAAAAAATGTAATGACTCCCCTTTGATGCAACCTCTTTGGCTAAGTGCTTGGAGCATCCACTACAAATTTGTTGTCTTCAAGCACGCCTTTCAAGTGTGTCACGTGCCCGACCACCCATCTTGTTCTTCAACGCCGATGAGGGAATCGTCTTTGGAAGGTTGATCATAACTCCACGAAAAATACACAAATTCATCTTGTTTGCTCATTTTCTTGAGCTTCGGGCACTCAAATTTACGGTGGTCAAGCTTTCCGCACGTATGACACCTTGGGGTGTTTTTCTTCTTGCTCTTGTTTAGCTCATGTTTCAAAAACTCGTTAAAACATTCAACCAAAATATCACAAGAAGTGCTAGAATCGTTATCACTATCACTATCTGAATCCGAATCATCAATCTCTACTTTTTGAGAAGAAGATGCTTTAAAAGCAATTCCCGTTCTCTTCTTAACATCAAGAATATGAGAAAGATGATTTGTTTCGTAAGTGATAAGGTTACCTTGAAGACCGTCGTATGTGATGACGTTGTAATCCCGGCCTTCGTAAATGGTGTTTACCTTTGACTCCCATTCCTTGGTAAGACTTCGCAGGATTTTCCTGACTAACTCCTTGTCGGTGAGCGTCTTTCCAAGCATATTAAGGTCGTTGACGATGTTTGAAAATCTTCCAAACATGTCCTCCACAAGTTCGTTCTCTTTCATAGCAAATAACTCATATTCATGGGTTAGCAAATCAATTTTTGATTCACGAACTTGAGGCGTACCTTCGTATGTGATCATGAGCTTGTTCCACATTTGGTTAGCGGTTTGGCAACGAGATATCTTTTGATAATCGTTGGCGTTGACCGCACAATACAAGAAGTTGATGGCGGTGGCATTCAATTGAGCCTTCTTGAAGTCGGCTTCATCGTATTCATCCTCGTCCTTCGGGATGAGTGTATTGCCTACCTTCTTCATCGGCAAGCTATCTCCATTCTTGATAGCAAGCCAAATTTTGAAGTCGTTTGATTGAACAAAAATCCTCATTCGCTCCTTCCAATAGGAGTAATTTGTTCCATAAAAAAATGGCGGCCTTACGGTGGATTGCCCTTCTCCTATCCCTGCATTCAACATTCTTAAAAAAAAAAAATTTGATCGTTTTCTCAAACGTCACAAAGAGCGTTAGGGATACCTGCTCTGATACCAATGGTTAGACAAGGCATTTAGAGGGGGGGTGAATAGAGTTGTTGAGAATGATTAACGATTTTCGCAGGATTAATAATATAAACGTAAGTGCAGCGGAAATAAAAGAGAGAAGGCAAAGAACACACCGATGTATACTGGTTCACCACCTCGTGGCTAGTCCAGTTCCCCGAGAGACTCTCTCGAAGCTACCACTACTTCCGTTAAGCTTACGGGTGCTTAACAAACCGTTTACAACTCGAGAACTTGAATCCCATAAGCCTCGACACAACCGCTCGTAGATATGCCCTCTACAAGACTTCACAGCCAAGACTTAAATCACATAAGCCTTGAACAACAAGAAGAACAATCTTCTTCAACCTCACAACAATGACTCTCACAAGAGTAGAAATGAGAAAAGATTAAACTCTATGGATGACAAGAACACTCTCTTGAAAACACTTAGTTTTCTCTCAAAATATATCAATTTGAGGAAGAAATGAATGGAGGATTATAACCTCAAGATTGGGGGATTTTAGGAGTGCTTGTTCTTAGTAAAAATGACCAAGGAGTGAAATTTATAAAGGGGTTGAAGAAATATATACGTTGGTCCAAGAAAAGAAGCTGTGATGAAAAATGCAGCATCATAATCGATTAATGCATCACCATAATCAAGTAATGCATCATAAAAAATCGATTATGGCAGCTGAAAAAATCGATTAAAATTGCCAGAGCCAAATTCCTTCTGCGCAGAAAAGTGATAATCGATTAAAACCAAAGGTGTTAATCGATTAGTTCCTTCTGGACGCGATAATCGATTAATTCCAAAGGTAAAATCGATTATTGGAACAATAATGCCTAGACAAGAAGGACACAAGCATGTGGGCGAGTTGGGAGGATAAAACGGATAGAACAGGGGTAGGAGGCTCCCCATCACCTCAACTATTATTCAAAATAAATTTTGAATAAATGAAAGATATTTGTAGAAATTGAGTCCCAAAACTATTTTGTGTGTCAAACGATGTACACAAAAATATTTGAATAAAATATTTTTACTTACCAAAAATATTTTATAATATCAAAATAAATATTTGATAAATGTTTGGCACACCTTTTGTAACTGACTCAATAAAACTATTTTGAACAGTTAAAAAGATTT